GCACAGTATGGGTTCGGGACGCATATGCTCTGAGGTCACAGTATGGGTTCGGCACCTGTTCACAGCAGTGTGCATATGCGGGACCCCGCCATACTGCTGTGAATACGTCCCGAGCCCATACTAGGGACCCAGAGCATATGCGTGTGGATGGCTCTGTCGCGACTGATCTCGATCCGTTAGGCGAGGGGGTGGCTGGATGTGCGCGTGGCGCTGCAGTTCGCCGTGTCGAGGTCGAGCTTGCGGCTGCCGGCGGGGAGCAAGGCGGGGCTGCGAGGCTTCGCATCCGTGCGGCCCGCGCCCCTCACCGCCGACGGCCACCGCGCGCCTTGCGAGCTGTGGCTGAGGTATGAGATTGCCGGCGAGGTTCGCACCCTCTGCGTCGAGGACGCCGCGCCCGTGCTGCTGGGCCGAGCCTCGGCGGCGCGAGGCGCGCGGTGAGGGAGGGCGGCACCCCGGCACGCAGTGTGACACACTCGACGGCTGTACGTCTGCGCAGTGTCTTCCCCATCGATACCACGTGCAGCACCCGCGTTCATGCTCTTTCCTCTATGCAGGGGTAAGCCATTAAGGTGTGGCCCAGGCCGTTGAACGGACATAAATTTTCTTGTTCGATGACGAAAACGGCCCACTTGTCGCTTGTGCCCGTTGATTCATGATTGAGAGGGGCCGGCCGGTCCGCGGGGTCGCCTGAGTTTACTTGGAGCACTTGGAGTGCGGTTGGCAACCTCAGATCCAGGGCCGGCGGGGACGGGCCGGGGCGGGAGCTAAGAAGCGCGCACCCAGCGGGCCGGAGAGGTGTGCCGCCGGCAGCGCGAGCTGCCGTCTATATTGAGCGGTTCAACCGCGTCGCGCACTCGTCCCAACCGGGAGCCGCAGACTTGTTCTGCGCGCCAACGGCTGGTGACGCTGTGTTGCCCTTGAGCTAGTCCTTCCCCGGTCGCCTACCCTCTGCGCTGTCTGGCGAACGCCTGTATGCCATGCGCGCGGACCACGCTTGCGTGGATACGTAGCTGGCAGGCTGACCCGTGTGCGGGGTAACCCGCGCACGGGGAAGCTTCACGGGTTCGAGTCCTCAAACATTAAGCAGCGGAGGTATGCCGAGGGGGACCGGGAGGCGGTAAGCCGTCGTTGCCCGGCGCTGCTTGCAGCACCATGGCGATGACGCTAAGAGGTTCCTCTTTTCCGCGCCGCCCCCCCCCCAAGGCGCGCGAGATACACATGTGCTCCGCATCGGGCTACGACGAGCTGGAGTAGACTGGGCGCTAGGGGGGTGCGCGGTCGCAGGGCCACGATAACACGGGTCTCCGAGGGTTAGTCCGCCGCGCTTTGCCTTTGGGTTTCCCCTAGCGGCGGAGCGCCACCCTCTACTCGGGGCTCTAGTAGAAGAGAATACGTACCGTTTGAGTTCATATTTACGCGGGAGTCGGAAAAAGTATTTTGCGCGATGTTCCGCTAGAAAGAGGGGAAATGAAAAAAAGTGCCATTGGCTTTCAGAAAAAAACTTATTATTAACAACGAAGGCGCTCTCAAAAAAAACGCCTCTCAGCTCACCACCTCGCCTTCTCTGTCGGTCTGTCGCTCTCCTGGCCCAGTCCCATCAGTATCAGGCCTAAGGTGTCCTAAACCGCACTTGTCTCGGGTCTTCAAGCTCACGCCGGCTCGTAACACCCTACACACGGCCCTCGCACGCACATTACGAGCTCACAGACACCGCCGGCACGCACTCCCACTTCACACACGCTCAAGCACAACCCCACCAAAGCACAGTCCTGCTCAGGGTGGGCAAGGACCCCGCCACTTGGTGACCCAGGCCGCCCCTGGCTCGCCACTGCACTCGGCTCCTCTGCAGCTGTCTCGGGCTCTCCCACGACAGCACGCCGACGGCAAGCTTTGACGCCCGTCGGATGGACCTGCTGCGGCCACGGCCGATGCACTCATGCAGCTTGGTGCAGGCCTCAACTCAGATGCCGACCAGCCTGGTCTGTGACCTTTGGGGTCTATGGCATGCTTCTCGGGCGCACCCTAAGGTTTTTGTATATAAACGCTGAGAGGGGAGCTGCGGGGCACAAGGTTCAAAACCTACCGTAGCGCAGTATAGAGTATTGAGTATACTCCACTGCCCACGCTTAGAATTCTTTTTGCTCGTGTTACGTGTTAGTGCCACCTAGTAAAGAAACAAATAAATAAAGAAAGCCCTGAACGGAGGGATGCGAGAACGGAGAAGTGACGTCACGCCGAATTCTTCTATCTTTTGCACACTTCTTTTAGAAAGAATTCTTTTTGCTCAACTTTCCTTCGCTCTATCTGCGAGGGCTCTCTGGTGTTCTACTAAGCGGGAGAGCGGAACGACGTCGTCGCTTACGTCTAGAGTACGCTAACTTGCGGCCGTCCTCCCCGCCCCCGCCCCATGCCCCAGGTCGCCGAGCGCAACTCAGCCGCGGTCGGAGCTTCTGTCTCTAGTC